GGAGCCTGCCCCCCACATTCCAGGGGGGCGTTGCTCCGGCTCGCTCCCTACACCCCATTGTTCAGCCCGAGCGCTGCTCTCCTGCTCCGCTTTCTTGCCCGTGGTCCCATTTTGCAGCGTGTGGGCAGATCTGTAGATTTGGGTTTTTTTTTTTTGACTACAGAGTGACAGATGGCGATTCCTCCTTCCCCAGAGAGAAAAATCTCCCTGAATGCAGGCGCATGTCAATCATTGGCTCTCATGTGATAGCTCCAGCCGATGACGTGCCAACCATATGGCATTGGCATCAGAGCTGGTACCCCCTTTGCTTGGTAGAGATGCCACTCTCGCCTCCTTTTGGATAGAGCACTGAAGAAAGCTGTAGCACCTTAAGGAGCATTGCCCTGGTCCCAGAAGATGCTGGGGACAATGAAATAAGAATTCCTCCCGTTAGCTTTGAAGGTAAGTTATGTAAGAAGCGAAGGGGGGTGGGGGACTGGAAACTTGAATGGATAAAAAGCAACTTCCAGGGTTATTTTTTTTTCTCCTTCAGAACTGGGTTTATTTTATTTTAAGATCCGATCTATTTTTTTTTGAGGGGGGAGAGAGTCTTATTTAAATCCCCCCGATTTAAGAGGGCAGAGCTCTATAAAAATGAAAATAGACCCAATAAACTATCTTCCATCCGTTGTCCCACCAGGAAACGAGATCTCTCTCGATATAGCTGCACACATCGGGTAGGAACAAAGATGAAACGAGAGATTTTTTTTTATTTTTAACGGAGGAAAGGTGTCTTTAAAATCAGAAGGCTCCGGCTTTAATTTTGTGCTGGTTAAAAAAAAAATTGCACTGCACACACACACACACAAAGACCACGCTAAGGAAATTGACATGGGATCGCTCCCTTCCATCGCCTGGCTGGAGAGAAAGATTCTCGCAGCGAGATAATCTTGCAAAGCAGAGAGAATGTGCTGGTTATTGCTCTCGGGAAATAGACTCGTGCCGCAAACTCCGTAGTTTTTAGCAAGACACTCCCGTGTCTGGAAGCGGGGCTGGGCATTCGTTTGTAGTCTTCATTTGGATTTTTATATAGATAGATATACCAAAAAAAAAACCAAACCCGTTAAGATTTGTTTTTAGTGTCAGCCTTCGAGAGGTTGAGCTGGAGCCGCAGCTGGGGTGTGATTATGTCTCGCTACATACAGGGGGGCTGATCAACACCACAAGAACGTGGCGTGGGCAGAGGACAGTGATCGAATGCAAAGTTGGACAGCTGGGCCGAGGGGGGGGGGGGGAGTGGGGGTGATCGGGGCGGGGTGGGGGGAAGGGGGGAGGGGGTCAAAGGTATTCCTAATAATCGGAATGATCTGATCGTCTGTTTCAAGGCGGGCGAAGGGTGGGGAAATGGGTCTGTTCCGAACCACACGGCAGGAAAAGTTGAAGACTGTTGGCAGTGTCTTGGGCCGCAATGAATGGAGCAGAAATTGACACCCAGGGTGGGGGAAGTATCGGCCGAGGAGGTGGGGCGGGGGAGAGAGAGACGAATGGGGTGAAATCGGTTTCCTAACATTTAAATCCCAGTCCTGAGCCCAACGGGACGGAATAAAGACGGCGGAAAATACCAAAAAAAAAAAAGTAGATCAAATTTAAAATAATAATAATAATAATCGGGAATTCCAAATGAATTATGAACCCAAATCTATCAAGCAAATGTCCCGGGATCAGTCACAAGGCGACGGCGAAGCCAATTCGTTTCAATCCCACTTCGAAACGATCCGATCGTTTTGAGGAGGGATCCGGGGCTGGATCCCAGCCCTTCCCGTGGCAATGTCTGGGTTCGCTCGCTAGATTCTCTCTGCCTGCGGCGGGGTGTTCCGCGTGGGGAGGGTTTCTAACCCGGGCGGAAAGTCAAGGGCGGATTGGCATCCAATGAACATGTCCTGCCCCTGTTTCGTTTCCATTGCCAACTGCACCCCGCTCCTGGGGAAGTGACCATGCAAAGCGCGTCCCGCACCCCCAAATCGCATCGCCGCAGGAGCTGGCCACGCACCCCACACACACCCCCACGGGTCCGGGCCTGGGTCCCCGCTTCGTGCAGCCGAGACAATGGGCATGGGGGAAGGAGCCTGGCTAAAATGTTCCCTCTCTCTCTCCTCCTCCCGTCTCCCCCTCTCCAGCCACCATGTTGACGCGGCTGTTCAGCGAGCCCGGGCTGCTCCCCGACGTGCAGAAATTCCCCAGCTGGGCGGAGGAGTGCGAGGAAGATGAGCCGAGCGACCCGGAGGAGCGGAAAGGTAAAAGCGGCCCTGGGCAGGAGGAGCCGCGGGACGACTCCTTGGGCGAACACAAAGAGGACGGGGACCTAGGCGGGGACGAGGAGGAGGAGGAGGAGGAGGAAGAGGAAGGGGTGGAGGAGGCCGAAGGGGACCGGCCCAAGAAGCGCGGCCCGAAGAAGAGGAAGATGACCAAAGCCCGGCTGGAGCGCTCCAAGCTGCGGCGCCAGAAGGCCAACGCGCGGGAGCGGAACCGCATGCACGACCTGAACGCGGCGCTGGACAACCTGCGCAAGGTGGTGCCCTGCTACTCCAAGACCCAGAAACTCTCCAAGATCGAGACGCTGCGGCTGGCCAAGAACTACATCTGGGCGCTGTCCGAGATCCTGCGCTCGGGCAAGCGGCCCGACCTGGTCAGCTACGTGCAGACGTTGTGCAAGGGCCTGTCCCAGCCCACCACCAACCTGGTGGCCGGCTGCCTCCAGCTAAACTCCCGGAATTTCCTCACGGAGCAAGGCCAGGAGGCCGCGAGGTACCACGGCCCCAATTCTTCCTTTGCCCTGCACCCGTACACCTACCAGTGCTCCCGGCTCTCGGGCACGCAGTGCCAGTCCGGCAGCATGGCCAGCTCCCACGCCTTGCGGACACATGCCTACTGCGCCACCTACGAGACCCTCTATGGGAACGCGTCCCCAGACTACAACAGCTCTGAGTACGACGCGCCCCTGAGCCCCCCACTGTGTATTAATGGCAACTTTTCCCTCAAGCAAGACTCTTCCCCGGACCACGAGAAAAACTACCACTATTCTATGCATTATTCTGCCCTGCCAAGCTCCCGGCCGGCCGGCCATAACTTGGTCTTCGGCTCCTCTGGGATGCGCGGGGGCGTGCACTCCGAGAACATCCTGCCTTACGACATGCATCTGCACCATGACAGAGGCCCCATGTACGAAGAGCTCAATGCGTTTTTCCATAACTAACCCCCTTGTGACCACTGAAATTTCACCCCCCCCCACGACTGCACATAGCAACCCCCCCCCCAACCCACTTCCATTCTGCTCTAGGTTTTAAATGTCTCCTCCGCCCCAAAACTGTGAACGTACAATTGTTAGGTGTCTCCCCGTAACACACACACAAAGCTAGACTTTGCTCGGCTCACGGCTCTAGGTGAACTAGTCTCCCCTTTACTTGTCCCCCAAGGATAGCAGACCAGGACAGAGTATACACCGAAAAGAAAATTTACTTTGGTGCAATATATATATATATAATGTAAAAAAATATTATTAAAAAAGCTAACCTTCAGGTTTGCAGTCGATTGAAACAAGTGTCTATTATGGCCACATGGAAAGAGAGTTTTAGGGAGAAAAAAATGGAAAATTAGAAACCCCATAAATTTTTTTTAAAGGGACAAAATGTGGACAGTAAAAAATAAATGGGGTGGGGAAATAGAGAAATCGAGCAATCTTTCCTCCCCCGCAAAAGTAAAGTGTATTGTTTGGCAACACATCAAAGTAAATTTTAAACAATGCCAGCTCGTTGTGTTTTTTTTTTTTTTTTATTTATCAGGATGCTTTTAGAAGGGGTTATCTCAGAAAAGGGGAATTCTCTATTCTTTCCGAGGATTCAGTAAAAGATCCCATGGAAGTTTAATTAAGAAAAAAAATGTTTGCAACTTCAAATCAGCATTTCAATGCAGTAAGAACTTTTAGAAGCAATAAAGAGGCAAACAGAAGATAAATATATATATCTATATATATCTATGCAAGTAGGTACTGAACTAGAAAAGTAAAACACAAAAGAATTCATATGGAATATTAGACTATGGACCAAGCAACTTGTTGAGGTTAAAAAGGTGCACTTTTTGATTTGAAGGGAACTGAATGTTTACGTTCCCTTCATTGTTAACAATCAGTGACTTCAGCTTTTTTGAACACCCTTGTACCACAAGTAACATATTTTCCAAATTGTGTGTCATGATGTTTTTTACCTGTTTTAAAAACTTTTAAAAAAATAGAGGGGAAAAAAAGATTTATATGAAATGGCAAAAATGTTTTGTTATGCATGGGTAGGAGCAAAAAAATGCAAATATGCAAATTATAAAGGTGGTGTGAAGAGAGCACTTATTATGCTATATATTTTAGTTGGCTATTTTTCCTATACTGAGGACTCTTTAAGTTATTTCTTTATGTAATGCATTTTTAGGGGAGGGAGGGAAAAATGTGTGTAACGAATACATCCATATAAAAATATGGTAACAAGACCTGAACTGATATATCCTGGTATATTTTTTGGTGCATTGATCTAATTTGTTTCATTATTATTTATTCCATTTTTAACACATTATTTAAATCAGGAGACATTGTTAAAATATTTTTAAACCTGCCTACATCACCTTTAAACATACCAGCATTTTTAAATAAAAGCGAGGAAGAGAATTTCTGATAAATGTTTTAAAAAAGTTTTACAAAAAAAAATTGTAGCAAAGGTGAAAATGTCTATCAGACACCAGAAGTGCTTTTTTGTGTTTCTGTTCAGTTTAATTAAGATTAATAAATATTTATGTCAAATGATATGCAAAAGAAAAACAGTTTCTTACAGTGATGTAATTTTTTAAAAACCAGTATTGTTTTGCTATAATCATCTACACAAAGTCTCTTGGTTTTACATACGTCCCAAAGTTATTCTACATTTTAGCTAACATCATAAGGCAGATTTTAAAAGGTTAGAAATGGCATCATATTTTTTATTTTTCCTTAAATCTCTCTGACACTATTTTTAAAAAAAGTGAAATCAAGAATGTGATGGTGTAAGCAAACAAAACAGATTCTGAGAAACTTACCAGAAACTAGTGGGGAGGGGGGAAGGGTGCTTACAAGCTAGAGAAGTTAAAAAAAAAGTAAATAAATAAACTGCATGCATCAGTATAAAAAAAGAAAGTAAAATATTTTTCCAGAATCTAAACTCGTATTCAATTGGATGTTTTAAGTATTACTCACAGTGGAAATTTCCACGAGAACTGATATCTTATGTGAAATGCACCAGTATACTCATTTGACGTTAAGAGCAGCAGTCAGTTGTGATTTGATTCAAAAGTGTAATTAACAAGCGTCCTAAGACGACAATTAATAAATATTAAATGTTGACTCTGTCATGTTTACTAGTTTACTTGAAATACTCATGCTAAATATATATACACGAGACCCCATTCTTTCAGCCAGAGCACTCTCGGAGTACTTTTTTGGAGTGAGGGGCAAAGGAGATCTCAGAACTACTCCACTCCCAGAAGCTTAACTTGTCTTCAAGGCAGCTGTCGATTGGCAACATGCTTAAAAATATATAGCGACTTTTGCAAGAGTCACATTCGATGTTATAAAGCTTAATGCAGTTTCCTTGTCTTGTACAGCTGGCGTCTCCTTGTAACCTTTTTAAACAGTCTTTTTTCCTTTCCTTTATTCTGCACGCCAGTTGCGCGATAAATTCAGAACAAAAATATATCTAAATACTGGTGCAATGCATGCATGGTTTGCCAAACAGGAGGGAAAAAAACGTTTTTGGATAAGGTGCATAGGGTTTATATTTTAATATTCCGGCTTGCAGATTTTTTTAAAAAATATATAATAATTATCATTCTAAAGTACCCACCAGTAGCACTGATGTCAAATCTCTATATACCAGGAAGGCACTGCAGAGATGGTGACAACCATATCACTCCCAAATAAATACATAAATGCAACCTAGCTGGTCCTGATCGAGGCGACAGAGTCTGAGCCATTCGTGATGGCACCCGGAGTTACCCTAAGGGGCTGGCAAAAAAAGATCAAGCGGTTGGTTCCCTTCCCCCCTCCCCACAGGTTTGCTATTCAAAGGCATTGTCTGAGCCGGGCAGAGTGACCAGGCAGATCCTGGGAGCTGTCCAGAGCTCCCTGGTGCTGAGCAAACAGCTCGCAGGCAACCCGAAGCCTCCCATTCAAAGGGGGCTTGGGAAGCCCAGACATCCCCAATCCTTGTGACATTGGATCCACCCTGGTCATTTCGTTCTCCCCACTCGCCTTGGCTCATAAACCCGGAGTCGTGTCTAGGGAGGGCAGAGGGGTTACTGTCCACACGTAACAACCAGGCATCAGGGAGGGTTTGACGGGCGCGTGGTTTGCGCTGCCCGCCGCACAAAAATGCCACACTGGCCAGCCAGGGAGAGAGCTGGAGCCTGGGCAGTCCATGGAGGGGCAGGCAAAGGCCCCCTTCAAAACACGCGGAGAGAAATATCTCCCCAGGCTGACCGCTTCCTTTGGGGGAAGCCTGGGGAAGAGGCCCAAGCCAAGAGGCGCCCTTGGAACCTCCCATGTGATGCGCCGAGGAGTTTGGCCAAAATTCAGACCAGTGGTTTTTGTTTGTTTTGTTTTGTTCCCCCCCCCCAACAAAGGAATAAGCCATCAGGGCAGGTAGAAAGATGATCTTGAATTTACCTGCCATTAAAAAAGGAGGGGGAGGGGGAATAAATCGCACCTTTATTTGAAGGCTAATTGAGGGTTTTTTTCTCCCTATAACGCGCTGCGATCACTAAATGGTGCTCCTGAAGCCAGTGCTTAGTACTAGTTCTGGGGGTCTCAGTCACTGGGGCTGGGGCTCGCCTGGGCTGGGCAGCGGCCCCCTGGGCTGGGAAAGAAGAAAGAGACGTGATTCGGGCGAAGTGGGGATTCACCCACGAAAGCTCATGCTCCAAAACATCTGTTAGTCTGTACGGTGCCACAGGACTCTTTGATTCTGGAACTAGTTAGCCAGTGGCAGTCAATCGATACTGTACTCGGTGGGAGTTCACCCGCATCTCTCTCTCTCTCTACACACACACACACACACACACACACACACACACACACACACACACCATGTTCACCCCCTATTTTCAAAGCTTTGAACTTGAGGCGAGGAAGCAAAGGATGAGCCTGCCCCCCCCGCCACAGAGCTGTGTGTGGACACACGCAAGCCGGCAGCCCCGCACTCCCCGCGAAAGGAGGTGACCCAGGCTTTGAGGTTTTGAACAAAGTTCGCCGGCATTTTCAAACCGATCCGCTCTGCGTGAATCCCAGGCACGGTCAATTCTTAACAGACTTTGTGCTTGGGTCGCCCTTTGCTAGGAATGTGACTCCATCACACACACGTGTGCATGGTGCACACCAGTGGACGGCTGTGTATACTGCGCAGCTCTAGGTCCATGTCTATGTTATATATGATCGACCTACCATGTGTATAGACACGTGTCTGGTCCAGCTATATCGGCCGCATCTTGATGGATCATATCGACAGCACATCGATAGTTAGCGCTACAACTCCGTTAGAAACCCATTCGGGGAGAGGGGGTGTCATGTTCTGCGGCGTGCCAGCGTCAAGATGAAAAGGGGAAAAAAGGATGGGGGGGGGAATCACTGGCGATTTCTGAATTTCAGAGGGAAAGGCGCAATGGCCGAATGAAAGGGAACAGGTCAAAAGGAAGGCGCGCAGCTGAAGACTCACTTAAGAAATTGGGTCTGGGTACCATGTGAGTAGCCCAGGAAATGTCACCTTTAAAGTTCGCACTAATTTGCTATTTGTAGGATGGGCTGAACGCCGCCCACCCCACTTCTCTCCGAAGATGCGCGGGGCAGGTGAGGGTCCCCGCTGGGGAAAATCTGGGGTTCTTTTACAGCCAGAAAACTCCTTCCTCCATGAAACCACCAATAACAATAACGTGTTTCAACGATCTGAGTTTCAAATGCCCACCATGGCTGGAAACGAGCGCTGAAGGAGAAAAGACTTTTCTAGTCCCCCAGGAGGGAAAGTGAGGGAAACCTCCCCCGCCTCACTAAAGAGCTCCACTATCGCACTCTTCAGTTCAGCTCCCAGCCCCGGCCAGAAGCGCTGATGCCCACCCGCCCCAAGGGCAGCAGGAAACTGAATCCATTTGCCGCCCCTCTGACTTTTGAATCCATCAAAATAGCCCCGCTAG